CTTCTCCCCTCTGAACACTGTCAGCCTGTTCTCTATTTAAGTGTCTTTGGCTATATTTTGCTTGTTTCTTTGTTTTGTTGATTAGGTTCCACTTAAAGCTGAGACCATATGGTATTTGTCTTTCACTGCCTGGCTTGTTTCACTTAGCATAATGTATTCCAGTTCCATCCATGCTGTTGCAAAGGGTAGGAGCTCCTTCTTTCTCTCTCCTGCATAGAATTCCATTGTGTAAATGTACCGTAGTTTTTTGACCCATTCATTTACTGATGGGCACCTAGGTTGCTTCTAATACTTGGCTATTGTAAATTGTGCTGCTATGAACACTGGGGTGCATAGGTTCTTTAGGATTGGTGTTTTAGTGTTCTTAGGATATAGTCCCAGCAGTGGAATTGCTGGGTCAAAAGGCAGAACCATTTTTGGTTTTCTGAGGAAGTTCCATACTGTTTTCCATAGTGGTTGCACCAGTCTTCAGTCCCACCAACAGTGCGGACAGTCTTATGGGAACTCCTTTGTAGGCAACTGTCTCCTTTTCTCTTGTTGCTTTTAAGATTCTATCTTTATCTTTTTAACCTTTGGCATTTTATTTATGATGTGTCTCGGTGTGGTCCTCTTTGGGTCTAACTTGTTTGGGACTCTCTGTGCTTCCTGGACTTGTATGTCTGTTTCCTTTGCCAAATTAGGGAAATTTTCTTTAATTACTTTTTCAAATAAGTTTTCAATTCCTTGCTCTTTCTCTTCTCCTTCTGGCACCCCTATGATTCAGATGTTGGTACTTTTAAAGTTGTTCCAGAGGTTCCTAAGCCTGTCCTTGGTTTCATTTTGGTTTTTTTTTGTTTTGTTTGTTTGTTTTTGAATTCTTACTTCTTCTGTCTATTCTAGGTAATGTTTATTTCTTCCTTTTGTTCCAAATTATTAATTTGAATCCTCGCTTCCTTCCCTTCACTGTAGGTTCCCTGTATATTTTTCTTTATGTCACTTTGTGTAACCTTCATTTCTTGCTTTATTTTGTGGCTGTATTCAATGATTTCTCTGAGTATGCTGATCACCAGTGTCTGGAACTCTGCATCTGATAGGTTGGCTATCTCCATTTCATTTAGGGTTTTTTTTTTCTAGTGTTTTAGTCTGTTCTTTCATTTGGGCCATTATTTCTTTGCCTCCTTGATTTGGCAGCCTCCCTGTGTTTGTTTCTGTTATTAGGTAGAACTGCTTTGACTCCATGTCTTAGTAGTATGGCCTAATGTAGTAGGTATCCTGTAGGGTCCAGTGGCACAGCCTCCCCTATCACACAAGCTGGGCACTCAAGATGCACCCTTCATGTGGGCTAGTACACCCTCCTCTTGTAGTTGAGCCTTGGTTGCTGTCAGCAGATCAATGGGAGGAATTTACCCAGGTCAGTCAGCTGCAAGGATTGGCTGTGACTACTTACATACCACCAACCTCTACCCTCTATAGAGAATCAGCTGTGCAGGGGCAAGGTGGTGGTTTTCCAATGTGGTCTGTAGCTGTCCACTGGGTGTGCTGGCCTAGGGGTTGTCCAGGTGCTGCTGACTAAGGTCAGCCCCCACCTGTGTTTTGCCCAGGGCTGCCCTTCCTGAGCAATAAAGCAATATGAGATGGCTGCTACTTGTACTCGGCTTAGAGATTCCCAGGCAAAGCCACACTGTGAATCTAGGCTGACTACCATGAGTGCTGGACTCAACCTCACAAAGAACAGCTGTTGCTTGTTTGATAGGATTTAGGAAGTTGTGAAGCATAAGCGAAGACCAGCCATTCAAATGGAAAAGCAGCATGGTGGGCCCATAAATTGGGTGAGGCAAAGTCTCAGAGGAACTCCAAGGTGGGTACAGCAGTGTTAGCCATGTTGATGGAGTCTCAGGTATGGCACCAGCTTGCCAGCTCTGTGCCAGGAGGGTTTAGAAATGAACAATAGCCTCTGTTTGCCTTGATGTAAGATACTTCAGTTTCTCCCTGTCTACCACTGGTGCTTTCAAGCTGCTACCCCAGTGCTGGAGCTGAGGAAGTAAGTCTAAGTCAGTGAGTCCATGTGTGGGTTCTTTAAAAGGAACTGCCTGGGACTGCTAAAGTTTCTTCCAGTGACTCAATCCCCTCTGGTTTTTGCAGCCAAAAGTTGTAGAAACTTATCTTCCTGACACTGGAACCCTGGGCTGGGAAGGCTGGTGTGGGGCTGAGAAGCCTGGTGTGGGGCTGGGACTCCTCAAACCTGAGATATCTCTCCCGAATTTTTATCCTCCACACGCGGGTGAGAAGCCAGCCCCACACCAGGGGGGGCTGTGTCTGCACGCCCCTACCAGTCAGGATAGATGTGGTTTCTTTAATTCCATAGTTGTCAGACTTCCATTCAACTCAATTTCTGACAGTCCCGAGAGATGGTTGTTCTATATTTTAGTTGTAATTTTGATGAGGTCATGTGAGGAGGCAAGCCATGTCTGCCTACACCATCATCTTGATGAGATCAGAATAAAATTTTTTATGGAGGAACAAAACTCCATGAAGTCAACATTTCAAAAGAAGAGTAAAGAGGAGGAATTTGCCCTACTAGGTATTAAGAGATACTACACAGTCATAATAATAAAACAGTGTGAAATTACTTCAACAACAAACAGTTCAGTGAAACATAATGGAGAGCTTAGAAATAACCATGTTTATATGGGCACTTAATATATAACAAAAGGACACCACATATGCATGGGAGATGGTCTGAACCTATCTCACACTAGATTAAAATAAAACTGGATCTTTATATAAAACTACATCAAAGGTAGACTCCAAATGAATAAAGACCTAAATGTGAAACTTAATAAATAGAACTTAAAGATTTCTATTCAGTGAAAGGTGCCATGAACAAAGTTAATGGACAGATAACAGATTGAAAAAAATTATTTCCAATGTTTAAAACCAACAATGGACTAATATCTAGAATACTAAGGTGCTCCTTCTAGTCAAAAATATTTTTAAAATAGGGAAATTATTTGAATGGGCAATTTATATGATAGGTAATCAAAATGGCTTAGAAATATACATAGAGATACGAAAAGGTTATTATTATTAATATTATTATTATTATTATTATTATTATTATTATTATTATTATTTCCTGTAGAGAATTTTTATAAGAGTAGTTCTTTTTAGCCAAACTGATGATATATGCCAGGAAGCAAGATCTCAAATGCTTCTAAAACTTATTATTAATTAGGGAAATCTAAATTGAAATGCTAGTGAAATAGACTGAACAACGGTAGATGTTGGCAGGGATGGATGTGGGTTTAGGAAACCTCACACAATGCTGGTATGAAAGTAAAGCGGTGTAGCTGTTCCAATGAATGATCTCAGTATTTAGTCCAACCAAGTATACATATAAATGGAGAATACAGTAAAAAGCAAATAGAAATTATATCAGTTAGTTCTACTTCTATTTGAATAACAGAAAAACTCAACTCAAACTTTATTAAATGCAGAAGTGAATATATTGCTTCATATAATTGAAAAGTCCTGTATGGATCTTGCCAGCAGTACTGAAAGTGTATTACCTGGACTGAGTGAGTCTCTCAATCCCTCAGCTCTGCTTTCCTCTCTGTTGGCTCCATTTTAAGGAGACTTTTGACAGACTTCCTGACATACAGTTGCAAGATGGCTGCAGCAGCTCAGCCCACATGCCTCCAGGTTCAAATCTCAAAGTGTAGGGGGAGGAGAACATGGAATGATGTCTCTATACTGGTGGTTCCCACAAGTGCCATGAGATTCATTCTGCCTTAGCCCAGGTTACATGTCCACCCACTCCTGCCTAGTAATATCCAAGTAACATTCTTCATCCTCGGAGTCAAAGATAGACCTTCAACCCCATCCTCACCACATGAAGTAAGAATGGGAAATTGGTGAATTCCCACATGAAAATCAGTGACTGTTAGAGAAGATAGAATATAGACAAAGGAGGCAAACAATAACTGTACCTAGAATAATTGTTACTATTTTGCTATTTACATTAATCATTCACTATCCCCCTAAAGCTACTCTTTTCCTAAAACAAATAAAAAACATTTTCCTTCATCTCCTAGAATTAGTAAACAAATCCCACAGACCACACTATACCATAAAAAGGATACTCAACAATGTCCATAATCTCAGGGAGAGGGGTCTACTGCTGAAGGAAAAGTCCTTAAAAAGAAGAAGCTATATATTTCCACTCATCTCTTGATGGAAACACATACATATGTAAAAATTTAAACAAAATAAAACTGCCTCATATTGAGTTAAGAATTCTGAAATTTCATAATTACACAAAACTAATAGTTAACACATATTGAACACCTGCTGTGATGCCAGGGAACGGGTCACATCATTGACAGAAAATTAATATAATACACCCTATAACTATGCACTGTATATATTATTATCCTTACTTTAAATGTAAGAAAACAGAATCAGGGAGGTTAAGAAATTTGCTCAAAGTGACAGAGCTGGTAACTAGAGGAGCCAAGAGTCAAACACAAATCGGTGAAATTTCTGAGACTGTTTTCAACACTATACCATGGATTTTGTGACCTTGGCATCAGTTAAAACACCAATATTGTGACCACCGTGTTATTTAAGTTCAGCCATTTCAATTACATCATCTAATAAGTTCATAGTAATAAATTTCATGAGAAAAATAAGAAGACTAGGTGAGGACTACGAAGTCCATTCTGTAAAAAGAACTGCAAGTAATTTTCCATGAATGGCTGTAGGCATGAATATACATGAAATACTGCCAGAAAACACTCTGCAAGAGTAACTGATGGCCTGATTAGAAAAATGATAAAATAAGTTAAACAGGTAGAATCTGGGTAATATAAATTAAAATAATTAAACAAAAATTGAGGACACAACTATCTCAGTGTCTCAAGAATTCCACAGAACAGAAGTCACCCTCAAGAAACCAAAAGCCAAAGCCAAAAAATGTTGGCTCCAGACTAAACACACTGGTTTAAAAGTCAATATTGTGGGTGCTCACTCACTTTGACAGCACATATACTCAAACTGGAACAATACAGAGAAGACTGACATGCCCCCACACAAGGATGACACACAAATCTGAGAAACATTCTATTATAATAAATAAATAAATAAATAAATAAATAAATAAATAAATAAATATCAACACTGTGGGATGCCACAAACTGTTGTTCTTTTCAGCCTTAGGAGACTTTGCCCCAACTTGTCTGGATATCCTAAAATGAGATAATACCTTGGAAATAAGTGCTGTAAAAAAAAAAATCAGGTCATACTTTAGGAGATGCTGATAAAATGAACAGAAATGTTGGCAGGGCAAGAGCGCACCTCTACCTCAACAAGATCACTGTGATAGGAACAAATATGAGCTTAACAAAAAGAGCATCATTAGACTTGTAAAGTCACACTTAAGGACTATGGAGCACTGGGTCTCAGTGAATCTTCTGGACCTATGGTACTTTAGAGTCCTGAATGATGGTTACTAAATTTTTCTATAAGCAGAAATTGTCACAATATACCACTTTAACTCCGAGTAGTTCAGATGTTCACCTTCTGAACCCATCATTTCCCAGATTAATAGACTATGCAACCGTTCTGGCCACATAGCTTTGCCCTATACACTACTTTGGGCCCTCCCTTGATTATACTGATGTCAAGGGTGTGGTATACTCAAAAGGCTACAGGGTGTGGGTGGTGAATTATGTTGGATAAGTAACCAGGAGGTTTGCAAGAGAAGACTAAAGTCAAAGCTGATAAAAAGTGGGTGCAGAACAGATAGAGTGGTCCTCAGCTCAGTGAGTTTAGAAAGTTTAGGGCGATTTCCATCAGGCAGAACAAGTACTGTCAGCTGGAGGAATTTAAGGATGAAAGTTTCCCCAAAGCTCAGGAATCAGGATCAGGTCACCTGTGCTGCTAGTCTAGTTTTAACCCTTATCCATTGGGATAACAAGGTCTCTACATAGTTCCCTTGTGCCAGAGTATCTCATGTTATGAACTCTACTTGGTTTTGCAGCCTTTCCTAGTTTCCAACTCAAAATTCTGGCCTGAAATATGACCCTGGTATTGTTGATACCAACTCTCCACCACCTGCCCAACTAAACTCCTTTCCTGGTTTCTCCATCATTTTTGTCTAACCACCCATCACACTGTACTTTATTAAGCTTGCCCCTTCCAAAGCTTCCTGCCAAGACTCTGAACTATTGCCTCCTGTTCTTTGCCCTCCCTCAGCCCTCACGTCAGATGTATCTTCAAGTCTACTTTTGAAATATCTGCCCCTTCAATCCCACTGCAACACTTTTGTCTGAAACCTCTGTAGCTTTCCTCTTTTTTTCAAATTGCCAGCAACCTTCCCTGTATCAAAGCTCAATTCATCATCCATATTCTTAGTAGAGCTATTTTAACTAAAAATAATCTGATCCTGTCATTTTTCTGCTTAAAAACTCTTTAGCTGCTAACCAATGTAAACAGGATAACATCCACTGTACTTCATATGGCTTTTGAGTCCTTTCCATAAGGCCTTTCAGGTCCACCTCTCCTCTTCTTTCCCACATAGCTAACAAGTACACTCATTAGACCTCAACTCAAACATCGCCTCTTTACAATCTGTCTAAAGGAGAATTAATTAAAATAAAGGAGTGGGGCCACACCAAACCAAACATCTCTGCACAACAAAGGAAACAATCAATAAACTGAAAAGACAACCGACAGAATGAGAGAAAATATTTATAAGCCATATATCTGATAAGGGGTTAATACCAAAAATACATAAAGAACTCACACAAGTCAATAAAAAAAGCAAATAATCCAATTAAAAGTAGGCAAAGGATCTGAGTAGATGTGTTTGCAAAAAAAGACATACAAATAGCCAATAGGTACAGCATCACTAATCATCTGGCAAGTGCAAATCAAAGGCACAATGAGATATCACCTCACTCTTGTTAGGCTTGTTATTAACCAAAAGACAGGGGATAACAGGAATTGTTGAGAATGGGGACAAAAGGAAATTCTGCTGGCTACTGGTAAAAATGTAAATTGGTACAGCCTTTATGAAAAACAGCAGGAAAGTTCCCCAAATAATTAAAAATTGAATGGCCATATAATCCAGCAATCCACTCCTGGGTATATATCTAAGAAAATGAAATCATTTATCTCAAAGACATATCTGCATTCCTGTGTTCACTGAAGCGTTAATCATAATAAGTAAGGTATAGAACAACCAAAATACCCTTCAATGGATGAATGGATAAAGATTTCGTAAAATATGCCCTGGCTGGTGTGGCTCAGTGGATTGAGTACCAGCCTGCAAACCAAAACGTTGCTGGTTCAATTCCCAGTCATGGCACATGCCTGGGTTGTGGGCCAGGTCCACAGTTGGAGGCATGTGAGAGGCAACCAATTGATGTATCTCTCACACACTGATGTTTCTCTCCCTCTCTTTCTCCCTCCCTTCCCCTCTCTCTAAAAATAAATAGAATCTTTTTTTAAAAAGATATTGTGAAATGTATTTATAAAATAGAATATTATTCAGCCATGTAAAAAAATCTTGCCTTTTGTGAAAACATGGAGAGCCTTATTCCAAGTGAATTAAGTCATATAGAGAAAGACAAATACTGTTATCACTTATATGTGAGATCTAAAAAAGAAAAAAGACAATTTTATAGAAACAGAGAATAGAAACATGGCTTCCAGGAGCTGGGAATAAGAGAATGGGAAAATGCAGGTCAAAGAGTACAAGTTTTCAATTATAAGCAAAATAAGTTCTGAGGACCTAATGTTAAGCATGATGACTACCATCAATAATACTATATTGTATACTTGAAAGTTGCTTGAACAGTATACTTGAACAGTATATTTTAAGCATTCCCACCACAAAAAAAGAGTTAACCATATGAGGTGATTAATTATTGAATGTTGGTGATCATTCCACAATGTATATGTGTATCAAATCATCACAATGTGTACTTTAAATATATATAGTTATAGTTGTCAATTATTCAACAGTAAAGCTGGGGGGAAATGTTAAAAATACAAGTGAACAAATTGCTTCCTCAGCTGTTCTTCCATAATAATTTACAAAAGCCTTTATTATAATACACATCACATTGTTTACGTGTCTGCTTTCTTCATTAGATTAGGAACTCTTTGAGGACAGGAAGCACATCTTCTTCATTGATAGCCCTCAGACAAGTATGGTGACTAGTGAGAAGTCAGCTGACAACAAATGCTTGTTGAATGAATAAATGCTTCATTCATCTCTTAACACCCTGACCTATCTCTTAATCACAACTTCACTACGATACCTGCAGAAAATGTCCCTCCAGAATACATTCTAAATTCTTTATCTGTCTACAATGTCCCTATACACAAAGGGAGCAGGTGAAAAAGAGGAGTAGAAGCTTATTTCAAGTTTCAAACCCTCTTGATCTTCCACATTTTCCTGTAATTACTTGTCTAATTCTAGACCTGTATGAATGACGACATTGGTAAAATTTGGTCAGGACAACTATAATGTCTCTGACCTGGCTTGCTCCTAGATTTCTTTTTTCCAGTTTCCTACCGCTGCACCACTCTGTCACCAAAACTCATGGTTCCTATGTGACATGAAATGGTAACTGGTTCACCTTTTACTGCTGATACTAGTCATTTCTAATATGGCCATTTAAAAAAATCTCACAATCTCTCTGTTTATAACCATTCATAAGTAAGTCATGAGGCTTTTTCCTTAACCACATGTGGTAATTTGTTGCTTTTCTATTATTCCTTCTGTTATTGCTTTTGTTCTTGACTATTACAAAAAAACTTTCTTATAACACAGTTACTGTATAGATGTAATTCCCTTCACAGACACCCTAGAATGCTCTAGCCATCTCTATAATTGTACCTGAGGGACTCAATAACCACCATAATTTTTAGAAAAATATTAGCTTATTGATATAAGCACTTCCTTGAGACTGTTTTCATTATTCAAAAGATTTATCTTTCATGGTAATTTTCTGATCTGTCTGCCTCACACAAGTTCTCACTGTGCATGTGTGTGGATCCAGTCACTTCTGCATCTGCACAAATTGAAATGACATGTTTTATACACATAGACACACAGAAAGAGACAGGAAAGAGAGAGAGAGAAGAAGGGAGAGACTAAAGAAAGCAGAATCTGAGAGCTCTATAGGCAACCTGAAATTTTTTCTTAGGATCAACATTGCTTTCCTTCACTGTTGTCTGGGCAAATGCAAGCTCTCAGTAGATGTGTCCTTGCCAGATATTGCTCCACCACTGTGTGACTAAGCAGGAACATCAGCCACAACTATGCCAAGGAATCCACAATAATATTCAACCTAAAAAAATTTCAACCCCAAAACAGCACCTCCCAGGAGATGACTTCAGCTCCTTTAAGAAATCTTTTAACCACAAATTCCAACTCCCCTTTACTCCTACAGCCTCAGTCACACATCTCAAAGGGCTGTGTTCCTTAAACTGGGACAACCTAACCCACATCAGCAGCCCACAGGTATTATGGCAACATAATGCCTTCTCAGCCCATTGGAAGAGAAAAAGAGGGACAAACAATTGAATGATTGTAATTGAAATCCTATAATTTGTGATTTGTCAACAACTACTGACCGTGGAGTTTTCTTCACCCCTTAACAAATCCTGGCAGCCACAATATGTAACTGTAGATATCAAAATACCTCTGAAACCATTTCATTGTCTTGTAACATGTCTTGTAACAATGAAATGAAGAGTATGTTCTCTCTCAGGATAGAGAAGATGTATTTCCAAGTTCATAACTCAATGAACACTAATTTTAAAGACTTAAATAAAAAATTCCTTTGGGATGCTGAAAATAAAAAGCTAATATGCCACCTTGAGTGGTGTAGCTCAGTGGGTTGGGCATCATTCTGCAAACTGTCAGGGGGCATGCCTGGGTTGTAGGCCAGGTCCCCAGTCGGGGTCATGGCAAGAGGCACTGATCAGTGTTTCTCTCACACACCGATGTTTTTCTCCCTCTCTTTCTCTCTTCCTTCCCCTCTCTCTAAAAATAAATAAATACAATCTTTTTTTAAAAAAAAATAGCTAATATGCCAGAGGGATGGATCAGCTCTCTTGGCATGAAGTAGGGTATGGAAACCCAAAGTTTGTACTATTTATGCCATGAAGTGAGATTGATAGCCCTGTTACCCCTACAGTTACTAACCTGGCACTGATCAAAGAGCCTTCTGAGCTGAGCTGAATCAAGCCAGGCAAAAAATGTACTTGGATGATAGAATCACACTCTCAGGTTGAATTGGATTTATCAGACATCAACCCAATAGTCTTCTACTTAACTCTCCTCCAAGAGATATCCCTGTCTCGTGCTCATCTCCTGGTAACTGATGTAACCTGTTGTGATGCAAAGAGGATTTAGGATGAAAAGTCCTTGGTTGGAGCCTTTGATCTGTCAGTCATGCAACACTAGATCTACTCACCTTCAACTACAATATGAGGAGGCTAGACTAGTTGATTGCCAACATCTCATCCAGTTTAAGACTCTCTAGGTAGTAACAGAGAATGCACTAGCTCCAAAGATAATGATTTTGATGTTTGGACAATTCTGATATTAAAAAGTTCCAGCTTGTACAAAGCCAAAATGTGCTTCTAACATTTCTACCCATTTCTCTGAGTTTTTGATACAACCCAAGTATAATCCCTCTTCTATATAACAGCCACTCATAATTGAAGACAGATATTCATCTCCCATTCATCTGCTTCTTACTCAGTTCCGTTTACCACCCATCTTCCTAGTAATCTTACTTACTCTACTCAGAACAAATAACAACTGTCCACATGCCTATTGAAAGGTGGTCATCAGAACTAAACAAATAGCCACAGAAACAATCTGACAAATGCTGAGAAAAACACTGCCACTTGTTCTGTTCTAGCTAATGTGCTTCTTTTAATGTAGCACAAAATGACATTACATTTTCAGCTACTACATCACACTGTCACTGTCATAATACCTTTCTTCTATTCATGATTTCTACTAGTCTTTATGAAGTTTAATTTAGCAAAGTCAGAATTTTACTGTTATTTTATAAGATTCATTTTATTAAATTTGAGCTATTTGGTATGACAAGCTGAAATCTTTTCAAATCCTCAGTCCATCCTAAAAATTTTTGCTACATGCCAACATCTTCATCCAAGTTACTGATAAAAGTATCATAACATGGTCAAAAAAAACAGTCCTGGAGCAGACCATCAGAGACTGTCCCCCATATTGACATAAATCTGCATGTTCAGGTCTTCAGGACACCAAAAGGTCAGATCCCAGATTTCCCCATCCTTGCCAATCTCTGGACTCCACCTCTGTTAGCTTACTCACACTCTGTGCTCCTTCCTTTCTGCTGCCCCAGCAATAATACCCACAGATAAGAATGCCAGTACTTGGGGCACATTGAGATAAACCACTGTTTTAATCAGTAAAAATATGAAGAAAGCTAACAAAATTGTAGAAAAGTCCACACCCAGTGCAATGTGGTATAATAAAAATAATGTGGGGGTCAGAGTCAGAAGACCTGGGATTGATCCTTGTTCTGTAACTTACTCACTGGGTAACCTTGATCACCCTATCACTATCAGTTTCCTCATCTCAAAAATAGGGATTATAATGACCTCACAGCATTGTTTTGAGCATCAGAGGCAATATGTGCAAAATCTTAGTGCATTATTAGCACATAATGAGCATGCAACACAGCACTATTATTATTATGACAGCATGATGAGAGACAAAAAACAATAACTAAATGCATAGAAAGACAATTAAAACCAAGAAGAAAATGAATACCTGTGTTCTATAAATGTTAATTAATGTTCAATAAAAGAAAAATTCCTGGTCTAATAAGGTTAGAAATGAGGACATTAAACAAAGTTTTTAAAACCCAAGCATTTTTCTATCTGATTGGCTCTAAATAAGTTAATCTACACCCCTGCATTTCTTATTTGATCATGTCCCACAAACTCTTACAGAGCCCAAGACACTAAAGATGATTGTGACCCAATCAATATCAGATTGAAAAAGAAACACAACTTGGGAGATGGGGTACAGACACATATGCAAATAATTAAAATAAAATATCACCAGTGCTACAAGAGAGATAAATACAGAGTATATGAGGGAACAGCAACCCATCTATAGATGTCAAGTAAAACTTTATGAAGATGATTACTGGTACCAAGGGTCTTAAAAGACAAAGAGAAGATGAGGTTGAGGGACTGTCCAGGTAGTAAGGGCAGCATGCAAAGATTTTGAACAGTGGTGGGCCACACAAGGTTCATTCAAAGAATTTTGTCAGTCTAGAGTGACTTTCTCATAAAATAGAGGTGATATGAGAAGCAGCTAGAAAGATGCAGATGCCTATCTATTGTGAAGGGGCTTCTATGTCAATAAAGAATTTTGGAATTCTACAGGCTAGGAGAAGCCAGCAGAGGAAATGGCAGGGTAATATTAGAAGATGATCCGGGAAGCCTACTAGTAGAGAGGATTGTTATGACACCATTTAAAATACTCAGTTGAAAGATGGTGAGGTCTAGAACTAAAATTGTAGCACTGGAGACAGAAAATACGCTCACATACAAAGAATATAAGGCTAAGTACAGTTTACATGATGTGGCATCATTATGGAGATAAAGAATGGTGAGAAGTGAAAAATTACTTTGTGTAGCTTGAAAGTCAGTACATGGGGATGTAATTAATATGTAGACATCTATAAAACAGTACATTTTGTTATAGGGCATGATAATTAGTTCAGATTTCAACAGTATGGACTGGGGTAATTAAAACACATTCAAATAAAGATGTAGGGTTCGACATAGTCTGGAAAACAAGAGAAAGTTAAAAATAGGGGTGTCCTGTATATTTATGAGAATAAAAGAAAAAACACCCACTTTAACCCACAGGAAGAGGACATGGAACATGTCTCCGATAACCAATGTAGTAACCTTGAAAACAATGTGAAAATAGACTAATGATTCTTGCCTAATAAACTCATGCTAGCTCCTAGTGATTACTGCTTGTCACCCAAGAGCTCATTTTTTTTTGCTCTCTTTTGAAAAGACAGAATTAAATTTGCTGTTTTCTCTCCATTCATCATGATTTCTAGATGACCATTCATCTCATGACAACTTCTCTCAGTATCCAGCAACAGAATTCATAGATAAAAAGGAACACGCAGACAGGTGCTTCTGACATATTTCAGCCATGAATTAAGTTGCTCATAAATGTATATTCTGTTCCTTTAGAGACACAAGTAACATAGTGTATTTATCCATAGATATTTATTAAGCACCTACCAACTCAAATCTGAAGTTAATAAAGTAAGTAGAAGGTGTAAACTCTGCATACAACCTATGAGAGCCAAAGGAAACCTTCCATAAAATACCCAATATTTGGGGTTTATATAATTTTGGAACTGATTCAACCAAGTATAGGTCAGTATGTGTGGCAGCTAAGAAGTAAACATGGTCACTAGAGAAATAGAGGTGGAGATGTGGGTGGATCTGGGTTTGGTTAGAAATGAATCAGACCAACCTACAGAGAATGGCTCCACCTTGAATAGACCTGCTATAAAAAGCCCATTATCACAGACTGCAGCACCCAGCAAGCTCCTTCAGGCTACATTCTACTTGTTCTTCTGGTGAAGGAAGTAAGTAAGAGGGAATACATCTAACTTTGCCTATTTGGTGTTAAGCAAGGTAGAAATCTGGATGTATACTCTAAGGCAAAAAGTTCTAGATGTATAGGGTTTTTTACCTTTGGTAGAACTGTTACTAAAAGTTTATTTCAATACAGAAGGAAAGTGGGGGCATAAATGTTTTTCTATGAGGCTACTCAGTACTCTCTTTATATTGCTTTATTTTCCATTTATTCATTCATTCAACAAATGTATATTAAGTACCTTATATGTGCAAAGTGCTACTCTTGGCTGATTATACAACAGTGAACAAGGTAAACTCCCTACTCTTAGGAGGTTACATTTTAGTAGGGGAAGACTTTCAGTAAATGATAAATTAACAAAAATTCACACAGTAATAAGAACAATGAAAAATAGGAGAGTGATGTAGTAGAGTAATAGGAGGTGAGAAGTTTAGATGTAGGAAAAGAATGACCAGCCAGTAAAGTGCTCTCTGGAAATTATCTTTTGAGCTGAGATCTTAATGACAAAAGGAGTCAGTCAAGGCAAAGGGCAAGATTCTAAGTAGGAGTAAACTTTTTTAAAGAACAGGAAGAAGCTAATGTGCCTAGAGCATATTTAACAAGAGGAACAGAGTATATGGTCATGTCAGAGAGCTAGACTAGACCATGTAAGAAGGGGCATAGCAGAGTTTGTACATCATTTTAAGTACATGAGAAATCATTGGAGAGTATTAAGCAGAGGCAGTAATATAATTGAATGTATTTTTTAACTTTTATTTATTGGTTTTAAAGAGAGAAAAAGAAGAGACACAGAGAGAGATCAACTTGTTGTTCCACTTACTCATGCATTCATTGGTTGATTTCTGTATGTGTCCTGAGCAGATAGAAACTTCATCCTTGGCATATCAGGATGATGCTGTAACCAACTGAACTACCCAGTCAGGGTGGAACATATACTTAAAATATCATTCCAGCCCAGGCCAATGTGGCTCAGTTGGTTGGAGCATCATCCTGTAACTGAAAGGTTGAGGATTCAATCCCCAGTCCCACACATATAATCCCTAGTCCAGTAATATACGGAAGGCACCCAATGTTTTTGTCTGTCCCTCCTCTCTGTCTAAAAGTAATGAAAAAATGTCCTTGGGTGAGAAAAAAAATCTTTAAAAAATCATTCTGGGCTGCTAAGTGGAAAAAGGAATGATAACACCACAAGAGTCAGAGCAGAAAGAAAGATGGGCTGCAGATTTTGGTGCAAGATGATGGTAATAATAAAAATAGTGAGCAATAACTCTTTGCTGGAGCCAAAATCTAGATGTTACCCATGATTCTTGTCTTTTTTTTTTCTCATCCACCCACCCAAACCTCTCCCTTTTGGCATCCATCAGTTTGTTCTCAGTATCTATGGATTGTTTCTGTTTGGTTCATTTATTCATTTGTTATGGTTTATTTTAGATTCCCCTCATAAGTGAAGTCACACAGTATTTGTCTTTCTCTGATACATATCACTTGGTATAATACCCTCTAGATCCATTCCTCTTGTTGCAAATGGCAAGATTTCATTCCCTTTTATTGCTCAGTAACATTCCATTATATATATGTACCACATCTTCTTTATCCATTCATCTGTCAATGGACACCTGGGTTGCTTCCGTATCTTCTTGGCTATTGTAAATAATGCTGCAATGAGCATAAGGGTGCATATATCTTTTACAATTAGTGTTTTTGTTTTCTTTGGATAAATACCCAAAAATGGGATTGCTGGGTCATATGGTGGTTCTTTTTTAATTTTTTTTGAGTAATCTGCATACTGTTTTCTATAGTGGATGCATTAATTTACAATTCCACCAATAGTGTACAAGGCTTCTCTTTTCTGCACATCCTTGCCAACACTTGTTTGTTGATTTTTTATGATAGACATTCTGAAAGAAATTAGGTGGTATCTCATTGTGGTTTTAATTTGCATTTCCCTGATGATAAATGATGTTAAGCATCTTTTCATATGTCTACTGGTTATCTGTAATGTTCTTTAGAGAAGTGCCTGTTCACATCATCTGCTCATTTTTTAATTGGATTGTTTATTTTTTAGTTCTAAGTTGTATGAGTTCCTTATATTTTTTGGATATTAACCCCTTATTGAATATATTATTTTTTTAATATCTTCTCCCATTCAGTAAATTATCATTTTGTTGATGGTTTCCTTCACTGTGCAAAACCTTTTTAGTTTTACGTAGTCCAATTTGTTTATTTTTGCTTCTGTTTCCCTAGCCAAAGGAAATATATCCAAGAATATATTACAAAGATTGATGTCAAAGAGCCCTTTATTGGCTAAATGTGTGGTATATATGCTCCATTCTGTGGGATTCTCTTCTTTCCTTTGACAGGGTCTTTAAATGGACAGGCATTTCTACTTCCATTGCAGCCCAATTTTTCTCTTTACAACATACTTTTTTAGTTTTATTCAAGAATTATTTCTCTACCCAAGGTCTTGAAGAGATTCTCCTATATTATCATCTTTTACTTTTACATGTAAAAATCCACCTGAGAACTACATTGTTTTGCCTTATGGAAATCCAATGAACCAGCAACATATTTCAAAAAAAAGTGATCCTTTCCTCACTGAATTATACCACCACCTCTGTCATAAATCAAATGTCCATAATGACATATGTCTAATTTTGGACTGTGTTACCTTTCATTGATCCATTTGTTCAACTTTGCCTCAATGCTATGCTGTCTTCCTTTATAATATACTTTGACACGTAGTATGTCCAGAAAGTCTGTCTTCATCAAGGTTGTCTTGGTTAATCTTCACCGTCCATATTGTCATATAAATTTAAAAAGTTACTTTATCAATCTTTACTTTTAAAACTTCAGAGATTCTGTCCTAGCCAGTGTGGCTCAGTTGTTTGGAGCATCATCCCATAAACCAAAAGCTCATGGATTCGATTCCTGTTCATGCCTAGGTTACAGATTCATTGCCTGGTTAGGGCACATATGAAAGGCAACCAACTGATGTTTCTCTTTTGCATCAATGATTCTCTCCTTCTCTCTCTCTCCCTCCCTTCTCCTCTCTCTAAAATCAATAAGCATGTCCTCAGGTAAGGATTACAAAAACACTTCAGAGATTCTAAATGGGATTTTATTGCATCTATAAATGAATTTAGGTTAGGAAGATTTGACATCTTAAAAATACTGAGCCTTTCAATTCATGAATAAAGCATAATCTTCCATTCATTTAAATCTTCTTTAATTAATCTCAGTAACATTTATAATTTTCTGAGTGCAAACCCTTCATGTCTTTCATTAGATTTATTCCTAGGTATTTCCTGATTTTTTATGCTTCTGTAAATGCCACCAATCTTATTTCATTTTCTAATTGTTTATTGCTTTTGTATAGAAATACAATAGATTTTGTGTCTATCTTAAACCCAGAAATATTTTAAATTTTATTTTAGTTCAGTGATACATTTGTATATTTTCTACATACAAACACCATATCATTCTGTGAGTAACATCAGTTTTGTTCCTTCTTTTTCAATTATTCTGTTGTAAATTTTTTTTCTTAATTTGTTGCTCTGGCTGGGACCTGTAGTACCATGTTAAATAGGATGACAGCAGGTGTACTAGTTTCATTCCCAAACTCAGAGATGAACGCTTCCAACATTTCACCTTCAAGTATGATGTTTGCTATAACATCTTCATATGTATAATTGCTATCTTTGTATTTATAAATCAAAATTAATGTTGAATTTTATCAAATGGCTTTTTTGTGATTTGTATAATTTCCCCCCATTATTCTGTTAGAGTAGTTAATTGATCAGTTCTCAAATGTAAATCAAACTTAAATTTTTGAAATAAAACTTAGGATGCATGTTCTTTTTATACAACACTGGTTCAGTTTACTATTATTTTCTATCACATTTTTGCTTCTGTAGTTATGAAAGAAATTTCCTGAAGATTTAGTTTCTTGTAATATCCTTTTGAGATCATGGTACTGAACTTATGGTAGATTCATAAAATTGAGTGTTTCCTTTTTCATTTCTTTACAACATCTGTGTGATGTTAGGGTTATTTCCTTCTTACACATAAAATAAAATTCACCATTAAAGTCAGGTGATCAGCACATTCTCTTCTGCTCTAAAAATTTATTGATTTAAGATTCAATTTCTTTAATAAATATAGGAAGACCATTGATGTTTTCTATTTACTGTGTTTCTATTTTGGTAGGATGTATTTTCCTAAAAATGTGTCAAATTAATTATTATAAATTTTTGAATACTATGCTCTCATCTTTCTAATGTCTATAAAATATATAGCAATGTTACCTTACTTTTCTGATATTCATTATTTATGCCTTTGTTGTTCTTTTCTTGAATAATCCTTTAGGGCTTATCAATTTTATTGGATTTTCAAACATCTTAGCTTTGTTGATTCTCTACATTTGTATTCTATTTCATTAATATCATTTCTTGCTTTTATTATTTCCTTCATAATACTTTCTTTGGGCTTACTTGTTATTCTTTGAAAAACTTCTTAAGATGTATGCTTAGGTTATTGATTTATTTGGCTCCTTTTCTAATATATGCAGTTAAGCTATAAATTTTTCATTGGGCATGAAATTTAAGTATCCTAGAGTTTTGGCTATTTCATATTTTTCCCATTTTCATTTTGTTCATAATATTTTCTAATTTTCATTGTAACTTATTTCATGATCCATTGATTATTTAGGAATTATAGCTTAATTTCTAAGAATTTGGAGACTTATCTCTGAGTATCTTTCTATTATTGAGTTATAGCTTTATTCCACATCATAGATAACAAAGTACATGATTTCAATCCTTTAATATTTGTTGAAACTTGCTTTATGAACTAGCACACAGTAAATTTTTAAATATTTTATATTTATTTAAAAGTACATGTATTCTGGAATTGTAAGGAGCAGTGTTCAATAAATGTTAGTTAGTACTTTTAATTAATAACTTTGTGGAAATCTATATCCTTACAATTTTTGTCTTTTTGTTCTCTCAGTTCTGAGAGAGGTGTATTTACCCATTTTGATTATTGATTTGTCTAGACTTCCTTATAATTCTGTCAATTTTTGTTGCATATCTTTTGAAGCTCTGTCATTAGGTATATATCAAATTAGAATTCTGTATCTTCCTGATGAATTGAGCTTTCATTGGTATGAAATATTCTTTTAGTAATGCTTTTTGCCTTAAATCTACTCCACAAACATAATTAATACAGCAACAACAGCATTACTTTAATGTTTAATACTAACTTTTTTCTATCTTCTTAATTTCAACCATTGTCATATTTAATGTGTGTGTCTTATAGGGAGCATGCAGGTTTTCTTAAATCCAGTCTGACAATCTTTATTTTTAACTTAGGGTATTTAACTGTTATTATTGTACTACTGGATTTAAATCTACCATATACTACTTGGTTTCTATTATCTCACCTGTTTTACATTTCCTTTCCTCTTCTTGACATCTTTAAATTAATTAAATATTTGTCAGTTAATTTTCCACATATTAGATTATTAATTATGTATTTCCATACTCTTATTTTTATTCTTACCCTGGAGAGAATAGCATGACTTACTGAGTATATTAAAAAATACTTTAAGCAAACTCGAACACTCAAGTATCCTAAAATACTTGAAATCCATTTACCGGCCTTATCTGATATTTCTGTTATCTTAATTCTATCAATCCTAAATCCTGAAAGACATGATGATGATGATGATGATGATTTCATGCAATCAATATCCATTTGATTTCTTCATATAGTTATTACTCTTCTTTTTTTATTCTTTCTGTTTCTCTGAGCTTTCAATTAGGATCATCCTTTAATCTTTCCTTTATAGAAGATATCCCTACTTAAGCAATTTAAGCATTCTTTTCTGTGGCTACTTTTACTGGGTATAGACTTATAGGATAGAACATTCTTTTAGAAAGATGAAGGTAACATTTTGTAGTCTTCTGGCTGCTAGCTATGGTTTCATTTTAAAAGCTAGCTGTCAGTCTTATTGTTGCTCCTTTCATAATAATACGTGTTTCTTTGGCTACTTTAAAGATTTCCTCAATCTTTAAGTGTCCAGCAGGGTTGTTGTTGTTGTTGTTATTGTTGTTGTTGTAAAGTATGTAGGTATGGTTTTCTTTCGTATATCTGCTCGGAGTTTATAATATATTTTGAATCTCTGTCTTGATAACTTTTATTAGTTTTCCTTTAATCTCATTATTTAAAAATCTCCCCAATACTGTACTTCATTTCCAAGCTGAATGTCTCAATAACTGTCACCATCTTGATAGCTTTCTGATACCCACACATACTCACACAAACTCAACACACACTTTCCACACTTTGACAACTTTCTAGCTGTTGTCAAAGAAATGTTGCTCTGGAACAATCTTATAAGCCAATATACAAAGCAGTCTTTTTAAAACTGAATCATATTAGATTATCTAGTGACTTCTCATCAAACCTAAAGTAAAATGTACCTATATTATCCTATTTAGAAGATCTTCATTATCTGACCATGCCTCTATCTCTGACTTTTAACTTATATCACTGCTCATTTGGCCAAATGTTCTGGGTTGGTCTTTTTTCTCTATTGCAAACATGAAAAACTGGTTCCCATGTTATAAACATTGCACAATTCCTTTTACCCCAAATCCTTCAACTAATCAACAAGGTTAGTGCCTTCTTAGTTTTCCAATTTAAACAAAAATATCTCCTTTACTAACAAAACCTCTGATTGGTCTAAAATATCTCTCAAACTCATATAGCACCATTATTATTTTAATTGTAAATATATATATAAAAGTATATATATATATATATATATATGTGTGTGTGTGTGTGTGTGTGTATATATATATATATATATATATATATATATATATATATATATATTTCTCACATCTCAATACCTAATTGTTTAATTCATTTGTGTGTATACTGTCTTCATAAGAACAGGCACTTTATCTATCTTGTTCACTACTGAAATTCCACAGCTTAAAGAGTACCTAAGCCTTTAGTAGATGTTAAATATTTGTTTTTAAAGCATAACTGAATGAGTGTAGAGTTCAAGGGAAAGGATATTGAGTGGAGGTATCAATTTAAAAGTCACCAGGTAGATGGTATCCGATGTCCAGGCAGCCAATGGCATTGCCTAGGAAAGGTGAGTAGAGATTTTTTTTAAAAAAAAAGAAAAGAAAGACAAGGACATGGCCATGGGGATTTCTAATCTTTTGAAACTGAACAGAAGATAAAAGGACAGCAAAGAATGCTTAGGAAGAGTAGCAACATGTAAAAGGAATATCAGGAGAATGTGGTGTCATGAGATCCAAGAAACAAAAAGATTCCATGCAGAAAGGAATGGTTATTTTACGCTACCTAGAGGTTGAGTAAGTTGAGGAGGAGAAACTGACCATTGTATGCAGCAACTTGGAAAACATAGATTATTTGATGAAAATCAGTTTGTTATTTGATAGTAAAGTTTTAAAGACAGAAAATCAAGAGGCTAGGCAAAGAAAAAGTTGGGTAGTAAACATTTTAAGAGCTAACACACAGAATACTCTTTACAAGTATTATGATTAATGGTAAACTTACATGTAGTCCATTACTTTCTTATTTTACACTTTCTCTTTATCCTGCCTTTTCTGTGCTTGCTATATTCATTTTCTTTGCATCTTCTGCTGAATTGATGAAGTTTTATCCCTTTTCTTTTATAATGGTTTAGAAGTTATGAATTATATTCTGTTAGTGATTACCCATTAACTTATCGAAATACATGTTTCACCATGTCAAAAACTAATCAATACATATTTCCTCTTAACAAACAATCCAAAGTCCATAAATGCTTTAGCTACCACTACTATTCATGTGTTTTACATTATTAGTTCCTATAGTATTTTAGTTTAGTCTGGTTTTATAACTTCTAAAGTAGTCATTATAATGTTTTTATATAACAAATGTTTGTTCATATTTATTAAGATGCTTAGTAAACTTTTACTCACCGGTTGAATAAACTAAACAGTCCTTACATGCTATTCCTTTAGTGGTGAAATAAAAGCCAGTCAAGAAAAAAAAATGTTATACTATAGAGAAGCAATTCAAGTCATCCTACCCAATTAAAACTACTGCACCCAGCTTTGGCCAATGTGGCTCTGTTGTTTGGAGCATTGTCTCATGCACTGAAAGGCCACAAGTTCAATACCAGGTCATGGCACATACCTAGGTTGGGATGTCAATCACTGGCTGGGTCATGTACAGGAGACAACTGATGCATGTTTCTTTCTCACATTGATGTGTGTGTCTCTCTCTAAAATCAATAAATGTATCCTCAGGCAAAAATTAAAACAGAAAGAAATAAGGAAGGGAGGGAGGGAGGGAGAAAATATGTCAATCATGAATTGTTGAAAAAAAGTAAATTGAATGAATGTTTATTAAGAGTCTCACTGGCTTAGCATTCCAAAAAGTCTCTCAACAAACTGATCACTTGAAAATTTGCTTTTAGAGAACTTATTTTCAGCCTATTGGTAAGAGTAAATTTTCCAACTTCTGACCAGTGGGCTTTACTACTGTCCTGCTGTGGGCAACAGGCAAATCAACAAGGATAGTCTCATCTGGAGCACACTGACATCCATGAGACTCTAAATCTTCTTGTGAATGAGATCATGACCAAAAAAATTGGTAGGTTTTGTAATTCACTCAAACTCTGTATTGATTTTCACTATGTAGAGGGTAAAATAAAGTTTTTGTGGCCAGTTTCCAATTTCAAAGATGAACTACTTTGGAGATGATGTATGTTTAAAATGTGAAAATTCACAATAATAATTTATATGACCTGGAAAAACAATACAAGAAAGGTGCACTTTTATTTCTTCTTTCTAGGTTCACTTATATTTCCAAAAGATGTCTGCTCTTCTGGAAAACATCATGGCCATCATTGACATATTCCAACAATATTCAAAAACAGATAAAGATACTGACACACTGAGCAAAGAAGAGCTGAAGGAACTTCTGGAAAAAGAGTTTCGCCCAATCCTGAAGGTAAGGATATTTGCCTTAAAGAATGTAGTCCTTGGTATACATTAATAATTTCAAAAGAGATTATTGTGAATTTCTGTGAATGATATCATTAGAAATTAAAATACCGTTAACCTTATATCAAAACAAACGGAATTTTTTTCTCCCTTTATAACTTCATATCTACTATACACATACATGTGGAGGGAACAGCCATGCACACACAGCCTATCTGAAGGCTAATAATATGAATATGTGCTGACAAGTGAATGAATATGAATTAGACTTTTATAATATTCTTCCAACATCATGGCTATGAAAACAGTATATTTAAGAGTTAGCTCAATTATGAGCTTTATAATATATTGATATTTGAAGTAGAAAGAAAAAAAAACTTGAAATCACTTTCATATCACCACATATGTTTAAGATTTCTTTCGTTTACGCTATTGATTTTAGTTTTCATCTAGGTCACAATCAATTGAACTATTTTCAGGAAAAAAATACAGAACTATGTTCCAATTCAATAGGAAAAATAAACATCCTCTACAGAGACTTTCAATTACTTAATTGATTACACGAGTCTGCCTAATAAACTCTCCCTACTGTATACCTTCTCTACAGAATCCAGATGACCCAGACATTCCTGATATCTTCATGGACATCCTTGACATAGATCACAATCAGAAAGTAGACTTTGCAGAATATTTTCTTATGGTATTCAAGTTGGCAAAAGCGTGCTATGAAACTAAAGCAAGAGACAAATTCCAAGCATTGGGACAAAAGCAGAAAAGGAATGGATATGATAAGAAACATGTAAAAAATGAAAGAAAAGAAACAGAACACAAAGACAATGAGGAGGAAGATACAGAGAAAAAACCCAGTCATTCAACAATGACTGCAAAGGAAAAGGAACAAAGATCCAAGACACAAAAAGAAAGAGGAAGGAAGAGACATGAGTCCACTACTCAAAAACAGAGTAAAAAAGGTGATACATCTCATGAAAGAAAAACAAAAGGACATGAACAAACACGTCATGAATCAAGGGGGAAAAACAAAAGTAGGTCAAGGTCGAATGAGGATGAAAAAAACAGGAACATGTCAAGTGTTAGCACAACAAGGAGAATAAAAGCGGACATACACTCATATACAAAAAATGTCATATTCCATGGCCAGTCAGGGTCCGACTCAAGAAGAAGACAAGATTCCCGACACGAGCACTCAGCAGACAGCTCCAGACACTCGGCCACTGGACACGCACCATCGTCTTCCAGGTCCCGGGCAGACGCACATCGGGACACACACAGCACTCAGGCCAGTGACAGTGAAGGGCACTCTGACGTGTCAGGGAGACCTTCCACCTCCTCCCATGGGAGGGCTGGGTCCAGTGGAAGGCACCACAGTGACTCCGCCCATGACCAGTCAGGAGGCAGCTCCAGACGGCCTGGTGGCCAGCAGGGGCACAGAGCCCCTCGTGGCCACTCCGACGATTCCCGGGAACACTCGGACTCTGATGCCAGAAGGAGACAGGCACCTTCTCATGGACACTCTGCTGACAGCTCCAGACACTCAGGCTCTCACCAAGCAGACGCATCCTCTCGAGGACACAATGTCGCAACCCATGGGCACTCAGGGTCCGGCTCAAGAGGAAGACAAGATTCCCGACACGAGCACTCAGCAGACAGCTCCAGACACTCGGCCACTGGACACGCACCATCGTCTTCCAGGTCCCGGGCAGACGCACATCGGGACACACACAGCACTCAGGCCAGTGACAGTGAAGGGCACTCTGACGTGTCAGGGAGACCTTCCACCTCCTCCCATGGGAGGGCTGGGTCCAGTGGAAGGCACCACAGTGACTCCGCCCATGACCAGTCAGGAGGCAGCTCCAGACGGCCTGGTGGCCAGCAGGGGCACAGAGCCCCTCGTGGCCACTCCGACGATTCCCGGGAACACTCGGACTCTGATGCCAGAAGGAGACAGGCACCTTCTCATGGACACTCTGCTGACAGCTCCAGACACTCAGGCTCTCACCAAGCAGACGCATCCTCTCGAGGACACAATGTCGCAACCCATGGGCACTCAGGGTCCGGCTCAAGAGGAAGACAAGATTCCCGACACGAGCACTCAGCAGACAGCTCCAGACACTCGGCCACTGGACACGCACCATCGTCTTCCAGGTCCCGGGCAGACGCACATCGGGACACACACAGCACTCAGGCCAGTGACAGTGAAGGGCACTCTGACGTGTCAGGGAGACCTTCCACCTCCTCCCATGGGAGGGCTGGGTCCAGTGGAAGGCACCACAGTGACTCCGCCCATGACCAGTCAGGAGGCAGCTCCAGACGGCCTGGTGGCCAGCAGGGGCACAGAGCCCCTCGTGGCCACTCCGACGATTCCCGGGAACACTCGGACTCTGATGCCAGAAGGAGACAGGCACCTTCTCATGGACACTCTGCTGACAGCTCCAGACACTCAGGCTCTCACCAAGCAGACGCATCCTCTCGAGGACACAATGTCGCAACCCCATGGGCACTCAGGGTCCGGCTCAAGAGGAAGACAAGATTCCCGACACGAGCACTCAGCAGACAGCTCCAGACACTCGGCCACTGGACACGCACCATCGTCTTCCAGGTCCCGGGCAGACGCACATCGGGACACACACAGCACTCAGGCCAGTGACAGTGAAGGGCACTCTGACGTGTCAGGGAGACCTTCCACCTCCTCCCATGGGAGGGCTGGGTCCAGTGGAAGGCACCACAGTGACTCCGCCCATGACCAGTCAGGAGGCAGCTCCAGACGGCCTGGTGGCCAGCAGGGGCACAGAGCCCCTCGTGGCCACTCCGACGATTCCCAGGGAACACTCGGACTCTGATGCCAGAAGGAGACAGGCACCTTCTCATGGACACTCTGCTGACAGCTCCAGACACTCAGGCTCTCACCAAGCAGACGCATCCTCTCGAGGACACAATGTCGCAACCCATGGGCACTCAGGGTCCGGCTCAAGAGGAAGACAAGATTCCCGACACGAGCACTCAGCAGACAGCTCCAGACACTCGGCCACTGGACACGCACCATCGTCTTCCAGGTCCCGGGCAGACGCACATCGGGACACACACAGCACTCAGGCCAGTGACAGTGAAGGGCACTCTGACGTGTCAGGGAGACCTTCCACCTCCTCCCATGGGAGGGCTGGGTCCAGTGGAAGGCACCACAGTGACTCCGCCCATGACCAGTCAGGAGGCAGCTCCAGACGGCCTGGTGGCCAGCAGGGGCACAGAGCCCCTCGTGGCCACTCCGACGATTCCCGGGAACACTCGGACTCTGATGCCAGAAGGAGACAGGCACCTTCTCATGGACACTCTGCTGACAGCTCCAGACACTCAGGCTCTCACCAAGCAGACGCATCCTCTCGAGGACACAATGTCGCAACCCATGGGCACTCAGGGTCCGGCTCAAGAGGAAGACAAGATTCCCGACACGAGCACTCAGCAGACAGCTCCAGACACTCGGCCACTGGACACGCACCATCGTCTTCCAGGTCCCCGGGCAGACGCACATCGGGACACACACAGCACTCAGGCCAGTGACAGTGAAGGGCACTCTGACGTGTCAGGGAGACCTTCCACCTCCTCCCATGGGAGGGCTGGGTCCAGTGGAAGGCACCACAGTGACTCCGCCCATGACCAGTCAGGAGGCAGCTCCAGACGGCCTGGTGGCCAGCAGGGGCACAGAGCCCCTCGTGGCCACTCCGACGATTCCCGGGAACACTCGGACTCTGATGCCAGAAGGAGACAGGCACCTTCTCATGGACACTCTGCTGACAGCTCCAGACACTCAGGCTCTCACCAAGCAGACGCATCCTCTCGAGGACACAATGTCGCAACCCATGGGCACTCAGGGTCCGGCTCAAGAGGAAGACAAGATTCCCGACACGAGCACTCAGCAGACAGCTCCAGACACTCGGCCACTGGACACGCACCATCGTCTTCCAGGTCCCGGGCAGACGCACATCGGGACACACACAGCACTCAGGCCAGTGACAGTGAAGGGCACTCTGACGTGTCAGGGAGACCTTCCACCTCCTCCCATGGGAGGGCTGGGTCCAGTGGAAGGCACCACAGTGACTCCGCCCATGACCAGTCAGGAGGCAGCTCCAGACGGCCTGGTGGCCAGCAGGGGCACAGAGCCCCTCGTGGCCACTCCGACGATTCCCGGGAACACTCGGACTCTGATGCCAGAAGGAGACAGGCACCTTCTCATGGACACTCTGCTGACAGCTCCAGACACTCAGGCTCTCACCAAGCAGACGCATCCTCTCGAGGACACAATGTCGCAACCCATGGGCACTCAGGGTCCGGCTCAAGAGGAAGACAAGATTCCCGACACGAGCACTCAGCAGACAGCTCCAGACACTCGGCCACTGGACACGCACCATCGTCTTCCAGGTCCCGGGCAGACGCACATCGGGACACACACAGCACTCAGGCCAGTGACAGTGAAGGGCACTCTGACGTGTCAGGGAGACCTTCCACCTCCTCCCATGGGAGGGCTGGGTCCAGTGGAAGGCACCACAGTGACTCCGCCCATGACCAGTCAGGAGGCAGCTCCAGACGGCCTGGTGGCCAGCAGGGGCACAGAGCCCCTCGTGGCCACTCCGACGATTCCCGGGAACACTCGGACTCTGATGCCAGAAGGAGACAGGCACCTTCTCATGGACACTCTGCTGACAGCTCCAGACACTCAGGCTCTCACCAAGCAGACGCATCCTCTCGAGGACACAATGTCGCAACCCATGGGCACTCAGGGTCCGGCTCAAGAGGAAGACAAGATTCCCGACACGAGCACTCAGCAGACAGCTCCAGACACTCGGCCACTGGACACGCACCATCGTCTTCCAGGTCCCGGGCAGACGCACATCGGGACACACACAGCACTCAGGCCAGTGACAGTGAAGGGCACTCTGACGTGTCAGGGAGACCTTCCACCTCCTCCCATGGGAGGGCTGGGTCCAGTGGAAGGCACCACAGTGACTCCGCCCATGACCAGTCAGGAGGCAGCTCCAGACGGCCTGGTGGCCAGCAGGGGCACAGAGCCCCTCGTGGCCACTCCGACGATTCCCGGGAACACTCGGACTCTGATGCCAGAAGGAGACAGGCACCTTCTCATGGACACTCTGCTGACAGCTCCAGACACTCAGGCTCTCACCAAGCAGACGCATCCTCTCGAGGACACAATGTCGCAACCCATGGGCACTCAGGGTCCGGCTCAAGAGGAAGACAAGATTCCCGACACGAGCACTCAGCAGACAGCTCCAGACACTCGGCCACTGGACACGCACCATCGTCTTCCAGGTCCCGGGCAGACGCACATCGGGACACACACAGCACTCAGGCCAGTGACAGTGAAGGGCACTCTGACGTGTCAGGGAGACCTTCCACCTCCTCCCATGGGAGGGCTGGGTCCAGTGGAAGGCACCACAGTGACTCCGCCCATGACCAGTCAGGAGGCAGCTCCAGACGGCCTGGTGGCCAGCAGGGGCACAGAGCCCCTCGTGGCCACTCCGACGATTCCCGGGAACACTCGGACTCTGATGCCAGAAGGAGACAGGCACCTTCTCATGGACACTCTGCTGACAGCTCCAGACACTCAGGCTCTCACCAAGCAGACGCATCCTCTCGAGGACACAATGTCGCAACCCATGGGCACTCAGGGTCCGGCTCAAGAGGAAGACAAGATTCCCGACACGAGCACTCAGCAGACAGCTCCAGACACTCGGCCACTGGACACGCACCATCGTCTTCCAGGTCCCGGGCAGACGCACATCGGGACACACACAGCACTCAGGCCAGTGACAGTGAAGGGCACTCTGACGTGTCAGGGAGACCTTCCACCTCCTCCCATGGGAGGGCTGGGTCCAGTGGAAGGCACCACAGTGACTCCGCCCATGACCAGTCAGGAGGCAGCTCCAGACGGCCTGGTGGCCAGCAGGGGCACAGAGCCCCTCGTGGCCACTCCGACGATTCCCGGGAACACTCGGACTCTGATGCCAGAAGGAGACAGGCACCTTCTCATGGACACTCTGCTGACAGCTCCAGACACTCAGGCTCTCACCAAGCAGACGCATCCTCTCGAGGACACAATGTCGCAACCCATGGGCACTCAGGGTCCGGCTCAAGAGGAAGACAAGATTCCCGACACGAGCACTCAGCAGACAGCTCCAGACACTCGGCCACTGGACACGCACCATCGTCTTCCAGGTCCCGGGCAGACGCACATCGGGACACACACAGCACTCAGGCCAGTGACAGTGAAGGGCACTCTGACGTGTCAGGGAGACCTTCCACCTCCTCCCATGGGAGGGCTGGGTCCAGTGGAAGGCACCACAGTGACTCCGCCCATGACCAGTCAGGAGGCAGCTCCAGACGGCCTGGTGGCCAGCAGGGGCACAGAGCCCCTCGTGGCCACTCCGGCGATTCCCGGGAACACTCGGACTCTGATGCCAGAAGGAGACAGGCACCTTCTCATGGACACTCTGCTGACAGCTCCAGACACTCAGGCTCTCACCAAGCAGACGCATCCTCTCGAGGACACAATGTCGCAACCCATGGGCACTCAGGGTCCGGCTCAAGAGGAAGACAAGATTCCCGACACGAGCACTCAGCAGACAGCTCCAGACACTCGGCCACTGGACACGCACCATCGTCTTCCAGGTCCCGGGCAGACGCACATCGGGACACACACAGCACTCAGGCCAGTGACAGTGAAGGGCACTCTGACGTGTCAGGGAGACCTTCCACCTCCTCCCATGGGAGGGCTGGGTCCAGTGGAAGGCACCACAGTGACTCCGCCCATGACCAGTCAGGAGGCAGCTCCAGACGGCCTGGTGGCCAGCAGGGGCACAGAGCCCCTCGTGGCCACTCCGACGATTCCCGGGAACACTCGGACTCTGATGCCAGAAGGAGACAGGCACCTTCTCATGGACACTCTGCTGACAGCTCCAGACACTCAGGCTCTCACCAAGCAGACGCATCCTCTCGAGGACACAATGTCGCAACCCATGGGCACTCAGGGTCCGGCTCAAGAGGAAGACAAGATTCCCGACACGAGCACTCAGCAGACAGCTCCAGACACTCGGCCACTGGACACGCACCATCGTCTTCCAGGTCCCGGGCAGACGCACATCGGGACACACACAGCACTCAGGCCAGTGACAGTGAAGGGCACTCTGACGTGTCAGGGAGACCTTCCACCTCCTCCCATGGGAGGGCTGGGTCCAGTGGAAGGCACCACAGTGACTCCGCCCATGACCAGTCAGGAGGCAGCTCCAGACGGCCTGGTGGCCAGCAGGGGCACAGAGCCCCTCGTGGCCACTCCGACGATTCCCGGGAACACTCGGACTCTGATGCCAGAAGGAGACAGGCACCTTCTCATGGACACTCTGCTGACAGCTCCAGACACTCAGGCTCTCACCAAGCAGACGCATCCTCTCGAGGACACAATGTCGCAACCCATGGGCACTCAGGGTCCGGCTCAAGAGGAAGACAAGATTCCCGACACGAGCACTCAGCAGACAGCTCCAGACACTCGGCCACTGGACACGCACCATCGTCTTCCAGGTCCCGGGCAGACGCACATCGGGACACACACAGCACTCAGGCCAGTGACAGTGAAGGGCACTC